TTGTTTTAGGCCCCCCCCCCCCCCCCCCCCCCACTTTGCTGCTCTTTTCTTCCTCTTTGGCAATTTTGGAACGTTTTTCCCCGTGCACTGTGCGGTTCACTATGCTGATAATGGCGGCGTAACGCCGCTGTCGCTACAGATGACATAAATCCACCAAGTGCAACGCTTGTTATGAAATGGTGTTTCCAATGAAGACACCCATCAGAGCTTTGAAGAGAGCTGGGGCTGCTGCCTCGTAATTCTCTGTGCAGAAAAACATAAATATACTGTATAGTGGAACGGTGGCAGTTGTCTTTCAGGAAGTGAGTTCGGTGAAGACTTGTTTATAGTTAGTTGTTTTGTATTCCCACTTTGATTTCTGTATGAGAAATATCTGTCTCAGAATCTGATTACAGTACAAAGCGTCTCTGGTGGTCTGAAGGTCCTCAGCAGATAAAGACACATTTCAAGACGAAGACGGTGTAATGTAATACGCTCTAAGGTAATAAGGTTAAAGCATGCTTTTATGGATATTGCATTTTTCTAATCTCTAGATTAGATTTTGTTCTGTGTCCTTCTCTGCTCCTTAAAGTAGGACCATGCAGTGACCACACAGAGATCCTGATTCCAGAAAGTGTTTAATTGTTATCAGTTCAGTGGAAGTACTCTCAAATAGCAGCATTAATATTGTTGCTCATAAAAAATATTGTTTCCTCTCTAGTTTATTCAGTTTGGGCATGTTTGACAGCCGCCATTCTTCATTCTTCAAGATAAGATGCATCACCTGATGTGTGTGCCCATGAGAAAGAAACAAAGGGAAACTTTGCCGATTTTCAACCCCAAAATAGAAGAACAGGAGACGGGTGCTACACTCAGTCTATCTTTCTTTACACCGGGTTCTGTTCAGGTCGTGAATGGAGCTAAGTTATAACAACATGACCGCCGCTGACAAACCGGTAACGGCTTAGCAAATAGAGCAGTCCTCCATTATTTACCACTTCAGTTAATATGAATTTATCCCACTATGTAGCTCAGAGATGCCAAAATCCTTTACAGATGAAGCTTGAGAATACTCTCCCCCTCCTTCAGTCCTGTTGTGTCTCTCTCTCTCTCTCTCATTCCCCCCTCTCAACAAAGTACTTTAAAGGTCAGTGTCTCACTGCTTAAGCTGAAGGATTAGTTTGCTTTCTGTCTCCCTCTTTTCTGCTTTTTATCTGTCTTCTCTCTTTGCATGCTTTCTTGCCTCTTCTGTCTCTTTCCTCCTGCATCACTTTTTTTCCCTTTACATCTCCCCCTTATCTTTCTTTGGGTGTGTGTATCTTCACTCATTGTTTTTCACTGAAAGGTTGTTGGAAGGAGAAATTGCCTGTCATGGCCAGAATCAGGGGAGATTACACTCAGGAGAGGTGGTGATTGTTTTGAATGGTATAGTCTGGAATGGCATGAAATTGTTGGGGGGAATTGTAGAGAGTGGAATAGTGTGGAATGACGAGGACTGAATTGGGCTTCTGAAGGATGTAGTGTCTCTGGGATGTGGACAGACTGAAAATTAGGACGTCGAGTTGGTTGAACATTATCCTTTGTCCGTCTGAATTGTATATCCTTCATCTGAAGATATCCGATGAATATTACAGGGATACCTCCGTAGAGTCTGTCATTCATATCCGCAGTGCCGATCTGCAGAGTTTAATCAAAGAGTTTGGACAAAGACGGCTTCCACAGCTCTGAAAACATGACATCACCTTCTCACCCTCCCTCTCATCTTTCCTGCCTGTTTTCTCACTTTCACACCCCCTGCCCTCCCCCGTCTCTCTTTCATTTCCCTCTCTAACACTTTCTTTCTCTCTCTCTCTCTCTCTCTTTCTTAAACTATGACATCACCTGGTAGAAGACATAGTAGCAGTTCTTCTGGTGGCCTTTAGGTGGCAGCCATGGCTCATTGGAAGAGCCTTTTGTTGAACGAATGCACCGCCGCAATATCAGGATGAGGTCATCCTTCTGTATTCTCGTTCATAGTTTTAAAAGTTGTAACTTTCAGTCCTTGAAGGCTACACATCTTATGTGATCATGACTAATATGTAGCCAGCTCTTTGGTACCACTGTTATTGACCTGAAATCAATATAATGTAATGCTGTTGGACATCATGGAGACTTTTACATAACAAGCCTTATTGATTAAGGTTGGATATAAAGTGGCAGGAGTTTAAGAAGATTGGTCACCGTTTGGATGAGGTGGGACCTCTCCTCATTCTTCAGGTGGAGAGCATCTTAGCACCTACATACAATATATATTTTGAATATGATATATAGGACATGAATATTCCTTCTCCTCAAATGTCTTGGTGCTTACCAGTTGAGGTGATTACTACCAGCCATTTCATTTATTCAGTCATAAATTATATGAAATATTTAATGTTACGTAATCCTGAACAGTCTGGAGATAATATACTCTCCTTAATATTTTGTTTTCCATTTCTACTTTTATAACAACCTGTGTCACCTTCCCCTCTCTGCTTCCATTGTCTCCACACGTGTTCGGCTGCCTGCATTTGTTCAGCGTGGCTCGTGGCTGCTGTTCCTCTGTGCAGCTAAAGAGGGCACTGTTTACTCACGACAGCACACTGATACAAATGGACCACATTTGAGCAGCAGAGCAATGTGCCAAATAGTGACTTCATAGAAAGGTGTGTACACTCGCATATGGGCGCACGTGCACACACACAAACGCTCGCACACCCTCCATGGAAAGTCACACCAGGATATTTTGATTGTTTTTGGCTGATCCCCTCCCCTCCCAATGTCCTCTCTGCCAGCCAGCCGCACACACAGCACTTCAGTTATGATTTTACATACCGGTTAGGCAAAATTACTCCCCAGCACACAAT